TGAATGTGGTATTTTATTCTATTATTAATAGTAGAGAAAATAAGAGATAAAGGATAGCAATTATTAAGAAATATTTGAATAGTATCAATTAAATTTTTTTGATGAAAGCGAGGATGAGACAAACGAACAATCTTATCCACCATGCTAATGATAATGCCTTTCTTATGACAAAGTGGGTGATTAGAATGAAAATTTAAAAATCTACCAGAAAATGTTGCTTTATGATATGTATCAAATATAATTCTTTGATCCTCAATAATAACTCGAGTGTCTAGAAAATTTAAACCATTTTCGCTACCAACTTCCATAGTAAATTGCAGTCTGTTATGTAAAGAATTAAATATATTTAAAGTGTCATCAATACTATCAGATGGAAGAGCCAAGATAATGTCATCGACATATCTGTAATAGAATAATGGTTTTATGAGTAATTTATTAATTGCTGACTCTTCCAAATCTTGCATTACTATGTCAGCAATTATTGGCGACATAGGAGAACCCATTGGAGTGCCAAAAATCTGTTTGTAAAACTTATTATTAAAAGAGAAAAAAGTAGAATTCAAGACTAGATTAACCGCAATTATAAATTCGTCCTGTGGAATATTAGTTTTACATGATATATAATTCCATCTCTTTTTTATACTGTCTATCGCCAGACCCACAGGAACATTAGTAAAAAGAGATACCACATCAAAAGAAGTTAAAACATAATTGGAATTAAAATGTAGTCCATTTAGTTTGTCGACTAAATGAAAGCTATCCTTGATATGGCTAGGAGCTTCAGGTATATTGTTTTTAATTACATTATGTAAATATAAAGATAGACAGTACAACGGACTATTAATGGATGACACTATGACTCTCAATGGATTCCCCTGTTTATGGATTTTTGTTAATCCATAAGCCCACGGTGTGTTGCTATCTGTGGTAAGCAATCTTTTATAAGTGAACTCATCAATGTAACTTTTCTTCTTCAATCTGGTAAGAAGGATCAAATTCTTTGTTTTCTTCGACTCAACGAATTATTCTTGTATTAAAACATTGAGAATGACCCGATCGAGGTTGAAACGTATGATATCATATATATTTTTACATTTCCTTTATTACTCTATTTTTACTTGTTGCGACTAATTATATGCTTAACTTGCGTTGATATATTTATATTCTTATTACCATTACCAACGTTATAGTTTAATTTTTGGCTCGTAGCCCTCTAATGTGACAGTAATTTATAATTTATTGAGCCTTATCACTCTTATTAATTAGCAACTATAACTGCAAATAAAATACAATACAATGCATTAATACTTTTTAATGAAAAAGTATCAAGTGTCAATAATAATATAATAAAAATGTTTTATACAGTTTTTTTTAGGAACATTCTTTGTATATTATTGTATCATATTACTTGGTATTTTTTCTTCTTTTTCTCCTTTATTCTTTATTTTATTCCCTTTCTTTTCTTTCTTTTTTCTTTCCTACATCTCTCCTCCTATTTTTTTTCCTTTTCCCATTCTTTCATTCTTTCATCTTGTTAGGCAACGTGCTGCATGCTCTCCAACACGAAAAACATTGTTACTCTAACGTTAACGATGTTATCAACTATAACTGAAAATAAAATATAACACAAATATAACGTAATTAAAACGTATCTCTCAAATCTCCTCTTTCATCTTTCAGCTCTATCCAGTTTCTTCCTTCTTTCATCTCTCGGCTCTTGCATCTATCGCGTCTCATCACTTGCCTTAAATCTCTTTCTTCCTACCAATTTCTTGTCTAGCCACTCTCATCCCTATTTCGTCAATACTAAAAAATAAATTGTTTACAATACATTTTATTTATAAAAATGTACAGATACTAAACATAAAGTATCTCGAATTATTACATTTTATTTATAGAAATGTACAGATATAAAACATAAAGTGTCTCGAATTATTAATTTTTAATAACAACGATATAATTTTAAGATTAAATTCTATAGTTAAATTTCTTCTCTTACCTGTATCTTGTTTTTTCTTTCTTGCTTCTTTCTGATTCTTCATCTCTCGTCTCTTTCTTTTTTCTTCTTCCTTTCCTACATCCCTTTTCCTATTTTTTTCCTTTCTCCATTATTTCATTCTTTCTTCTTTTTAGGCAATGTGTTGCATGCTCTCCAACACGAAAGACATTGATACTGTAACGTTAACGATATTAACAACTATAACTGCAAATAAAATATAATACAATGCATTAATACTTTTTAATGAAAAAGTATCAAGTGTCAATAATAATATAATAAAAATGTTTTATACAGTTTTTTTTAGGAACATTCTTTGTATATTATTGTATCATATTACTTGGTATTTTTTCTTCTTTTTCTCCTTTATTCTTTATTTTATTCCCTTTCTTTTCTTTCTTTTTTCTTTCCTACATCTCTCCTCCTATTTTTTTTCCTTTTCCCATTCTTTCATTCTTTCATCTTGTTAGGCAACGTGCTGCATGCTCTCCAACACGAAAAACATTGTTACTCTAACGTTAACGATGTTATCAACTATAACTGAAAATAAAATATAACACAAATATAACGTAATTAAAACGTATCTCTCAAATCTCCTCTTTCATCTTTCAGCTCTATCCAGTTTCTTCCTTCTTTCATCTCTCGGCTCTTGCATCTATCGCGTCTCATCACTTGCCTTAAATCTCTTTCTTCCTACCAATTTCTTGTTTAGCCACTCTCATCCCTATTTCGTCAATACTAAAAAATAAATTGTTTACAATACATTTTATTTATAAAAATGTACAGATACTAAACATAAAGTATCTCGAATTATAATTTTTAACAACAACGATATAATTTTAAGATTAAATTCTATAGTTAAATTGCTTCTCTCACCTATATCTCGTTTTTTCTTTGCCTTTCTCGCTTCCTTCTCATTTTTTATCTCTCGTCTCTCCTCTCTCACCAATATCTGATTTCGTATCTCTCTAGTCTCTTAAATATTTATAACGTAATAGACATTTTGTACAGCTTTTTAGAAACGTTCTCTATATATGATATCATATTAATAATTTCTATTTCCTCTTCTTTTTATCTTTTATTCTTTTATTAATTAGAAGAAAGAAAAATTTCTCATCATCCTTCTTTTTGCATCTTTTTAAACCATTTGCTTTCCTATTTCCTTACCTTTTCCTTTCTGTTCAATCCTTTTCTTTTTATAAAAAACGTATCTTTTCTTTTCATGAAAAATGAATAATAACTGAAATTAAAATATCTTGTCACACCTATTTTCCTTTAGTTTCAATTCCTTATCGCTATTTATTATTTTTCTACTTTATTATTGTAAAATAACTCGGCGCTATAATTAATATCCCGCACTAATCTTTCACACGCGCGATGATCCATCTTCTGTGAAACGACGATTGTTCATTCATTATCATTCACCATCATCCTTTAAAGTGATTCTACACAGTCAATATAATATCCTACTACACGTGTGATCATTAAAACGGTCATTGAAAAAAGCGTTATTTATACTTTTAGCGGTATAAATTTAAATTTCATTGAACGTCACGAAATGCGTCTCATCGGTGCAATTTGCGATGTACTGAGGACCAATGATAGAAGGAATAAAGCGTCAACAATGAGATCGCGACATACGGCCAACTTCGAGCGTTTCATGCCTTTTTTCCTTATGGATGGATGGATAAAATTAAGTTTTACTAAAAAATTAAATCAAATTTTTTTGGAGACGCTATATTGTGTAGACTGTTATATTTGTATACGATAAAGTATTCTCGTAATAAAGTATATATTTGTGTACGTATATTAAATTACAACTTCACATTTAATTACAATTTTCATGCAATATGTTATTTTTTCATACATAATTATTCAATTACAATTTTCATATAGTATTTAATCAATTATTATTTTTAATTTACTTATTACTGTTTAATATTATTATTATTATTGTTGTGAATTATCTTTATATATAATAAGTTCGTTAACATTATATTATTATATATTATTATAATTTTGATTTAAAAAGATACTCGTTATAAATAATTTTCATGATACGAACGAATTATGTATTTTTTTTTTTAGAAAAATTATTCTGTAGCTTTATAAAAATTCAAATTTATAAACGCTTTTCCAACTCACAACATGGCGGCGATTCATGTGACCTGGGACCCACTACATCAAAGGTATCGACGCTCAGTGTCCATACTGTATGTACTTAACTGTGGTAGCGACGTATGGACGTTTATTTTTTATTTAAATATCAACTTTACAGAAAAACTGCAAGAGATAAAAATAATTTCTTTTCTTCTCATAGAATTCTAAGAATTTTTCAGAATTTTTTATCAACTTTTTAGTACTGCATTTTCTTATTATCGATAAGTCGGGTCACTATTATGACTCAACGAATTAATACACTGCACTGTACAGGGGACGGCACCCTACGTTTATGCGGTTACACAAATTTGTGTGGATATACTCTTAGGGCCATCACATACAAAATTACATAAGCTGCATAACCACTAGCATAAAGCCACTGAACCAATAAACATGCAACATAAAGACGCCATGTTGATTTACATAAGATACTCACTGGTCTAGCGATCTTGTGTTATGCTTATGCAGTTTATATCATTTTGTGTGTGGTGGCCCTTCCTCTGCAAAATTCTAAAGAGAGAAAAGTTTGGTGCCACTCGAGAATAGAATGCCCTTGAGCATTTATCTAACTTTGACGAATGTTAAACGCTACCAACGCTACGCTAGACCATTCACGGAACTCGTAAACGCTAATACCCGTATTCATAGTCTTTCCTTGAGAAATGAGGATTCCTTGTTTCACGTTTCATAAACCTTCCTTGACCAAACAGAGAGCCTTATTAGCTTTCTTTTCTCAAGGGAGGTTACGAGTTTCCTTGAGGAAGAAGTGCAGCTTTCTTAACCAAGCAAACCTCCAAATTTAGTTCGTGACACCGATCTTTTTACTTTCAGTAGCTTTTAATTTAGATCTATCGCATCGATAATTATTTTTTATAGCTTTTTTTACGGAAATGAACTGCACCAAAAGCATTTTCTCCTTCTTCGTATAATAAGCATTATGGCGAATTCGATTGAAAGTACTGATGCATATTAAAGCCGTTGTACACTGATTTAATTTGAGTATAAAAATAAAATACAAATATTTCGAATTACAAAATATATATTTTACCTAACAGTACAATAAAATGTATTGAGTATTTTATAATTTAATCGATTTCTATGTTTATTTATAAACATATATTTACGTTATTTTGTGTATGTACGGCGGTTTTAATGTGCATCAGTGAGCAATCAAATTCGCTATTAGTTTTATTTTTGTCCATTATTGTTGCAAAATGCTTAATCACGACTTTATTTAATCAACAATGCCTTTATAACATTTATTATTCGTAATTCACGATATTAGGTATGTGTTACGTCCAGCGGACTCACGCTGCCTCTTTTTCTCTTTCTCATGGAGACCTAGGGGTTATCAACCGCTAAGACTTCTAAGAAAAGTAATAAAAATCTTTTCCACGAAAAAGTTTAAAGCAAAAGACTCCAGTGTCTCCATTAACGCCAAATAAAATTAAGTTAGAATCGGTGAACGCAGGGAGCTAATGCACCGCCGATGATACTTCCCTTGGACAGCGACATTAAAAACGACAATTAATGTCAGTACTGGCGCCTAAACATTTTTCCGACAAGTAAGTCGCGGACGATTCTCACGATGTAAAATAAAAGTGACATGAGAAGTCCAAGGAAACCCTTACGGAAAGAGACACTGAAAATTAAGTGTTAACACTCAACTTTGAGTGTTAACACCTAATTTTCAGATGTTAACACTCAAAGTTGAGTGTTCACACTTAATTTTCAGTGTTTTTTCGAAATTTTCAGTGTCTCTTTCCATACGGGAAACGTTTGACGGGCGCGTGCCGACAGTGCACGTGCATTTTCCCATAAATTTAGAAGAACCATAAATTTAAGAAGACACTTGTTGATACCAATCGACTCCTTTCCTCCCCCATAATCTCGACCAACCCAAAATCCAGAAAAATATCCCACCACCCAAATTAGAACCTCACCAATTAAAGGAAAAACCGCTATATAAACCGCGGTTCCGCGGTCCGCAGCATCACTTTTGCCTTTTTATTTTGTTAAATCAGACTTGTTTTCGTCACTCTTGTTTGTCCAGTCTTGCCTTTTTTATTTTTCCGGAGTCGAGAGAACACGTACTAATCGAAGTCGACAGAGACAAACGGAGGACATAGACAGAATCTTTTCTCGGAGTCGACTCGCTAAATAAAACATTTCTTTTCACAATCAATCCGTAAAGCTTAGAGTTTAGAGTCAGTGCTGAAGAACACCGTCAACCTCACACATCCTGCCCGGAGAACTTCCACCGATGAGCATCTCAGTAGTAAATCGGTATATTTCTATTCTCCAATCCCTCTCTGTTTTTCTTTCAGTAATTCATTTCAATATTTCATTTAGTTTCTTTTCAGTTATTTGATCTTTTTTATTTATTTCTTTCTGTCTTACTCCCTTTTTAGTTCCTACATAAAAGAAAATAAAACATTGCAGTCTTTTATTCTCTCGCTATTCTTTCCGTAACTTACTCCTTTTTATACACACACACACGCACGCACGCACGCACACTTACACATATATTATTATTTTATATATAAATAAAACCTGATATAACGACAGTTCAAAATTTAATTAAATTACGAAATTATTAAAACTCTGACCATTTTATTCCCGAACAACATCTCCTCGTATTCGTAACGTCACACCACGATTGCACTTAGTCCAATCCCCGGCCCTTTGGATTTATTTCCAAGGCCGAAAGGCATCGAACGCACTGGCCTAACTGGGATAGAAATATGCCCTTACGGCACACTGACTCAGTTTCCCGGCCTTTAACCTGTGCGTTTGCCTCGAGCGGCACTCAGCGGAGCGTCGATCTCGAGAGAGGCTTCCGCTTCGTCCTCCCTCGGAACCCGGCTCTACCAAGTGGCCA